GTGTGTGTGTGTGTGTGTGTGTGTGTGTGTGTGTGTGTGTGTGTGTGCGCGCGCGCGTGTGCGTGCAGTAATACGCTCTCTTTGACTTTTATTTGTCTCATGCAAACCATATCTTGCTTTTTGTATGTTTATCTTCAATTTTTGAAATATACACACCGTACATGTCACAACAGGGAGTAGTTGTAAGAGATGCTTTTATCTTAATACCTTCTCTGTGTGCTGGTTCCTCTCTTTACTCTCAGGCACTTGCAGAGGGAGATGGAGAACCAGGAAGCTCAGGCATCTCGCTTCCAGCAACAGATGAAGAAGCTCGATGATGACATCAAACAGAACGAAGGGCTGCTGAGAAGAACCCAAGTAGAGCAGAGGACTACAAAAGTAACCCTTTTACCACTAACACACAATTCATAATGATCATCCCTTATGTTTTCTAGTATCAGACAGGCCAACTGGTCATTATTATGTCCGATCATGGCATGAAAGAATGTAATACTGCTCAATCAAAAAAGGAATTTCCAAATCAAAAGTCTAGTATTCTACACTGATATATTTAATGAATCTGTGTATTTGTTCCAGGCCACGGCCACAAAGCTACAGCTGGAGCTGACAGACCTACAAAATATGGAAGAGCCTCAGTCAGAGGACCTCAATCCCCTGGTTTGTACAGAACACATCAGTGCAGTACAATAATCATCTCAGTAGACACACCAGAGGAAAGAAAATATGGAATATTGACTGAAGGAAACGTCCCACATAAATGTATGATCTGCAAATAATCAGCACAGATAACTCGGGTGATATGCTACTCTCACCACTCTACTACAGGAGGAAGATCTTCAAGAGATTGTCACTAAGATCTCATCCAAGCGTGCCGAGTACGATGAGGCCCGAGCTCAGACGGCTGAGTCCAAGGCCTCCTATGAGGAGGCAGAGCAGGAGTACAAGCAGCACAAAGAGCAGATCAACACTGTCGCTGAGGAAGCAGACCCAGTCAAGGTAATATATATCGATGTCTTGTCATTGGGATGAAAGAAAGATTTAGATCAGCATCATCAGAATACTGGGTGAAGCTCACGTGGTTGCTCTTCGTGTGCTCGTCCTTCTGTCCTTCTACAGGAGGAGCTGAGTAAGGCGGATCAGGATGTGATGAAGTGCAGGCATCACAAGAAACACTACGACGAGAAACGCAGCGCCCATCTCCGCAACATCCAGACCCTTGAAGCCAACCAGGAGAGCAAAGAGCAGGAACTTCAGGTGCGCCAAACAGAGATACACGGGGCAACTGGACGCAGAGGTCTTCCTTGCATGAAACAAGCATTAACATTTATGCTTCAGCACCCGCAATAGCTGTGGCCGGGGCATTATGCATACAACTGCGAGGCAGTAATTGTATTTTAGGGGAATAGAGGGAGAGCTGTCTGCTTTCAGTAAAAGTAATAGTGTTTAATTTAAAGTTTGAAATCAGAGAAAAACTTTCATTAATGCACAGAGCACACTTATCAAATGTGTTCCGACAAAAGCATTGACGTTTTATTTGTGGTTCTTTTGAGCATTGTGAATCTTTAGTATATCTTTGTTTTTGTGAGGTTAAAACACAAATTGTGTACATTTTTAGTACCGCCTGCTTTGAGTCTCAGAATCCAAAGGTTTGTTTCACCCTGCGGTTCAGATTTCTGCGGCCAAGGCCACGGAAATCTGTCCAGAGCGCGTAGAAGTACGACGGACAGCCCGGAGTCTAGACAGTGAGATCAACCGTCTGAAGGTGAAGATCACGACCCAGCAGGGACAACAGGGGGACCGCGAGGAGGTTGTGAGGTACGTCACTTAGACCAGGGAATCACATGACAATGTAGTGGTTGAACTGTAGTGTCATGAAATTAAATATTTTCTTCTTTTTTTCAACACAAAATTCTTTCGTCTGTCTCACCTTCACATGTCTAGGCAGTATCATGAGGCTCTGGAGAACTACAAGAACATGGCACAGCAAATGAAGTACCTCAACAGCTTCATCAAGAGTCTCGATAGTGTCATGAACCAGAGACTCCAGGTGTATGCTGAGCTCAGGAGGTGAGATGTTAACAAATTGTTTCCAGGAACATGACGTGAAATCAAAAGCTCTTTCATTTATTTAATATTGATGAATTCGTATTATTTATTTTTGATCTAAAGGATTAGCGAAATCGTAAAAAGGACATAGTTGTGACACTTGTCTCTTTGTGTGTTCCTTGATGTTCTTCCTTCCATGTGCATATGTCCCTTTCCTCTGCAGGTTCCTGTCGGCCCGCTGTAAATACTACTTTGATAGCATGCTGGCCCAGAGAGGATACACTGGAAGTATGGCCTTTGACCACAAGAATGAAACGCTCTCCATCTCAGTAAGACCAAACTAACTAAACGATATAGCAGCAAGGGGAAAAGTCTAAATGAGAACACGTTGACTTTTTTTTATTCTTTGTCATTACTCTTAAAACCACGAGACATGGCTGCTACATCTTTTTAGCCAGGTGGTGTAAAGAGGAATGATACTGATTTCTCCTCCATTCCTCTAAAGGTGCAGCCGGGCCAGGGAAACAAGGCTGACCTGAGTGACATGCGCTCTCTGTCCGGAGGCGAGCGCTCCTTCTCCACCGTTTGCTTCGTCCTCTCTCTTTGGGCCATCACGGAGGCGCCTTTCCGCTGTCTCGACGAGTTTGATGTTTACATGGTAATAAGAGACCGTTTTTATTGATATGTTGCAAGTTGTGTCTGAACAAGAGCATCAAGAGGGAGAAGGACACGTTTGGATAAAGTTCATTCGCAGGGTTTTCTTTTCTTCAATTAGGACATGGTGAACAGGAGAATATCAATGGACATGATGCTGAAGGTGGCTGCTGGTCAACGCTACAGACAGTTCATCTTCCTGACCCCACAGAGCATGAGGTATGCACTGATACAACCTCGCTTATCAAAGCACCCGGTTGTGTTTTATTCACTTAGTTACTGCATATTCTCTTAATAAATGAGCTGTGATGAAGTAATTCATTCGGGAGTAAGGCCATGTGGATTTATATGCTGCTTAGTTTCTGTGAGACAGAGCATCAGCCACTTCACCGTAAAGGCACTCACATCTTTGTTGCTCTTCTTCTTTGTTGTTTCAGCTCTCTTCCAGTGAGTAAAATCATCCGCATCCTCCGTCTTAAAGATCCAGACCGCGACAACAACACACAAAGAAGTCAAGACGAGGAGCAGTAGTGTTGCTATTCTGGTTTCCGTCTTAAGAAAGTTTACTTCTCTTAGTGACCAAAAGCAATACATATTGTTTAAAGTTCTGTTTAATGTTTCGTACTACAACACTGAACGTTGGTAGCAATTCATTGTTGTAAGCACTATTACACAATCCACTATTACAGGGGTTACTGCACAGTCAGGGGAAGTGTTTTTATATCCCCTGCCAATTGTTAAATGGCTCGAAAACAGGCGCGTTGAAGAGTTGTCTGTTATTGTAAGAAATATTTAAAATTCATTAAACCAAATCGAGTTCAGAAACAAATGCAGTGTTTGTGTTTTGTATGCATCAAATCACATTTCAGGACATTTTCGACCTCAAGTCTCTCGGGAGGTCATAATTCAAGTTATTGCAATTATTGTTATTGATGTGCGTTGAAACATTCCACTTGAAACCCTATGAAGGTCAGTCTTGTGAAGAGGAAAGGTTTGCACCTTTAAGGGCTCTGTGCCAAATCCTCCACGCAAGGCGGTCCACTGGAATGCACTTCCACTGATGCACATAACATCTGTTGACAACATCCCTGACCTCCTGAGGGAAGTGGCACTTTTTTTTATTACATCCCAGAGAGCTGCAACAAGCAGACAACATGAAGCCCAAATCTCTTCCATCAAGGTTGTTTGACGGAAATTCTGCGTCAGGTGAAACTCTGAATGTGCGAGCAGCAAAATATCAACGGCATGTGGATCACCAAGAGAGTCTGTATCACTCTGGCCACGATGACAGCCAGTCAGCGGCAGACAACGGCAGACAAACTGAGAGGAGTCACAGAGAAGTTCATTTTGCTTTTCTGTCGGAGAGGTATGAGCCGCTGGTGGATGAGGAGGTGCGAGTCGAGGCAAAAGAAGAGAAGAAGAAAAGGAAGAAAGAAAAGTACAAAAAAGTCAAGAAGGTTGGTGTTGCTGCTTTACATTTTCTTGAGTTGTTGATATTCAATTAACATGAATCTGTGTGTGTGTTAAGGTACTGTAATAGTTTCACTGTGGTTAAGTTACAATGTGAATTGTTTTCATTAATCAGCCTCAATCAAATTGTTTTATTAGATACATTATTTAAATTCATAGAAATTGATCTACACAAATCTATTGCCACTGTCATGCTACAAGTTATTCCGAAAATATTTATTTTGCTCAGTATGGGCTATTTTCATAATTTGTGATCTATGCTGTTGCTGCATAATTCCCATTCAGTTGGTGATTATTGAGGTAATAACTAGTTGTAAAAATGATGCAATTGTGTACAGCTTTAATACTCACGAATCACTAGAAAGTCGTAAAATGAAACAAACTTAATCATCCCAGTGAAGCTTAAAGCTTGCAGTTATGATAACCTAACATTTACAGCTGTTTCCTCCTTTGGCAACGAGCACCAGCTCGTCTTTGATCTCTGGACTTAACTTCTGGGCTCACACTGACCCAGTCAGACTGATGACTGTCACTAAAGAGCTTTAAAGCTTCATATAGGTCCCGTCTCTGTCTGCTATAGCTGAGGAGACGGGAGAATGTCCCGACATGCTGCTCAAAGTCTATTAGTTTGGTAATCAGTTTTAAGTTTAAATATGTTCTACTGGTGAGTAGAGTCTTTCTTACATACTACACTGAGGAAGGATTGTTTTTGCTCTATTTTTCTAAAACATCTGACTTCCTGTATCCGCTTCAGCCGGTCAGGCCGTTCCTGTTCAAATAGTACAGCAGACAATAGTGTTCACTGGGCTTTTTGTTTACATTTTAGGGATAAATAAAGACTGCACCTCTCCTCCTGTGGTGCTATTGTTCTAAAGGCCCACATGAGCAGGTTTTCTTTCAACAGTTTCTGCCTGAATTCATGTCAACTCTTAATTCCCATATTTGTTTAACCTAATTCTGTCAAAAGCACTAATAAAGCTTTGTAGGCGAATGATGTGGGAATACAGGTGATAATTACATGGTTGTGTGGTTTAATTCACCCTTGAATCCTACTCTGACTGACAGAGCAGCTTTCTCAGAATATAGATTACTGCACTATTGTTTAAGTCTGCAGAGTTGATGATTTATCAATGCATGTATGTTTGTCTTTCAGAATGTTGGCAAAGCACTGCGCTCCACCTGGAAGTGTCTAATGCTTGGTCTGTACAATTTTGCCCTCGGCTACTCTACTCCAATCACGGTGGCGGCTACTTTCATCCCGGACTTTCACCCCGGCAGAAACACGACCTGAGCCCGGCCACGTGCACCTCCTCTGGTAGACACTACACTGTAGCTACATACCAGTTAACCCATGGGCACTGACCAAATGCTTTTTATATGTTTAGAATGTTTTAAGTATTTGAAATTACATTTTTATATTTGTTTTCGAAAATTGTAATCAGAATATTCGTATTGTGTTGTAGGCACAATAAAGTGGTTAATAGGCCTCTTTCACAGCAGACATTTTGACTCGTCAAAGTAGTTTCTATTAATATTAATGATGTTCAACTAAGTTGTTTTGGTAATCTATATTTTATCAAAATATTTCATTATTTACACCTGGGCTTTTCTTACTGTGACATTTTGATCTTATCAATTGTTGTAGCTGTAATAATATACAGATTTAACCAGATTTACAGGCATATACACAGTTCATAAGAATTAAATAAATTACAGACAGAATCTGTAAAATTCCTCTTTGCATAGACCCAATGCGTATGTAGGCTATGTACTCTTTATCAAACCTAAATTACATATTGCTCATGCACAAAATATGTGCATTTTTCACTTGGAGGACGATTTTTTTTTGAAGCATCTCGCTGTTGTTTGCATGTGTGCAGAGGGATTATGTGGGGATGTGGCATCTGCAGCAGGACAGGAATGACTGGAACATTTACTGTAGCTGCAGATAAAGTGAATCAGGGCGAATACCCCTTACAGGCAGGAAACAGGGAAGCGATCGTCAGTGAAGTACGAGTGAATCAAGGCTGAAAGGGTGTGTGCAGGCACAGGCGGAAGGAAACCAGGCCAACTGGACCACTGATCTCAGGAGCATTTTGCAATACTCAACCCGTCCGAGCGTCAGACAGATGGCCAGCAGACTGATGGTGATTAGGAGGCTTTGGATATATTTCTGTGGAGTAAAAGTTAAGATGATTCTCAGATTGGAACCATATGGTGTGACCTTTTAAAGGTAGTTTCTAAAATGTACGTGTATGAGTTTGTTCAGTTTGAAAGTTTTTCTTGTCATGATATTTGTAGGTTGATGTGTGATCAAATGTTAATAAACTGTACAACAAAACAAGATCATTTGTTAATGGCGGACAAAGGAGTGTGAAAATACAGTAACATCTTAAAAAAAATAAAGTAATCACACAAACTCGTAATTTCCAGAATCTTATTGAATATACAAAGATGGAAGCTAATGTAAAGAAAACAGAATTGTGTGAGGGAATAAAACAAGGTTGCTTTCAAATGCCTTTGTTGTCACACAATAGGAACACAATATGAAATAGCACAGGCACAGCTACAGCACACTGTTGGCAACTGGCGAGTCTCCCAAGGCCAGGAACCTATTTAGTTTGAACTCAAAGTTGACGGGACGTTCACCGGGAGAGCGGTAGTTCCCTCTCATCGTTGAGCTCAGGTAGGGAATGAGCGCGCAGTTCTCTTCAAACGAGGCCAGCTTCTTTTTGTACTTCTTGCGGGTGTAGTCTGTGCTCTTGTTGTTGAAAGCTTTAAAAAACATAAGATTGAATTCATTAGTTGGTTAAATCATAATTGTATCATATTAAGTTCAAACAATTCACACATGATGTTTCATTTTGGCCTAAGGCAGCCATGACACCTTGCCTACCTTTCAGGTAGAAGGCCACATAGAGGAGTGATGATCTTTGTATGCTGAGGAAGGGGTACTTTGGTTTGAGACACCCAACCGCTGTCATGGCCTTAATGACGGATACTGCGACACCCTAAAAAAAAATACAGACTTTACTCAAGTAAGGCGGATGTCAAAGAGACTTCAGAAACATATATATCAAATTATACGTTTGAGTTTGTGTCTGACCTGTTCCAGATAGCCCAACGTTGGAAGGGAGGTGAGGGGTATAGGTTCACACAGAGGAGGAACTTTAGTCGGCAGCTTCTGGTCCCAGTAGGCTTCGGGATTCCTTAAAAGATAACATTTCAACACCATTTCAACACTTTCTACATTACAAGTAGTGTAAAACGTTTCGATATCATTGATATGCACAACTAACCTTGTGAAAAGAACACATGACTTACAAAACGTTTCTGGAATACACAAAGACGTATAGCTCCGCACCTCAAAAACTTGTCCTGTTTCAGCTTTGTCTCAAAAATGTAGATCCTTTCTCGGTATTCAACAGCATATTCCATCTTTCCTCGAACCAGAGCTTCATACCTTGGGACAAGTAAACCTTCCGTGAATCGAGAACTATCTCATACGGTAAAGAGTAGTGGGCAGTAAGAAGAGATCTGACACAAATTAAATCCGCTTGACATATTCTTTCTATTTGTGTTGGCATGAAGTGGTACATTCTGTAGGTTGCAGATGTTGCAGTTTTTAAGAATTTCTTGTTATTATTATTTACATTATGTGCTTTCAAAATGCACTTTCTAAGGAATCTTCAATCTAGTGAATCAGGGCAGAGACCACTTCATAATTTACTAAAATTGATAAGAAAAATAACCTCTATTAAACCATTAATAAAGTAATGCCAATCATGTATCAAAACCCACACTGACTGATTTGAATCAACAGTTCTAAGAGTTTTATTTGTTTCTATTCACATCTTAATTAGCTGTTTGGTTGGTACATAGCACATATTGTCAGTACATATTTCTGTACACACATGAAATCCCTTTGCATTGACTTCTTTTGTTTTGGGTCTTAGAAAATGTTTTCTCAAGAAATGAGAAAAAGTGAATAATCATGTATGTGTCACCGGTAGATTAGAACATTATAGAGCTGAATACCCCTATAATGTTCAATGTAACATACCTTTGCTTTCCATCCAGATAAGTGACCAGGCAGAAGCCCTTCATCTCAACTTGCTGTGGGAACCTGTTTTTCACCTGAATCTCAGTGATCTTTCTTGGCAACAGGTGGGGTTGTGGGAGAGTGTGCACGCAGCCAGGAGGCACAAAATGATCAGGTGTGGTCAGGAACCGCTGTAGTTGAGAGAGCGACATACAAATATTTGTATTTTGTTCATCCTGCACGATTTCATAGTGTGACATACAAATAATTGATTGCACCGGATAGTGAAAAATCTGTTTATTTGGACCAGCTGTCGGCTCCACTGCACTGACCTCTAAATGGTCTTCACCACACATCTTGTAATAGTGTCCCTTGTACTCTGCTGCGTGAGTTAAGGCTGCATTTTCTGAGCAGTCCACCAGGTGGTAATGTAGGGCCAGGCAGACGGGGCAGTAATGACCAAACTCGCTAAGCCGACACTCCAGCTCCTTGGGTGTGATGCACAGTCTGTTGATGGAGGCTGCTTGTCCTTTGAAATTAAAAAGCAAAGGGAGGATGAACTATGCTTATAGATTAAATGTAAGTTTTTATAGCATACAGGGTTTGGCAGGTATTTTACTTTAACTGTGAAAAGCCCTGTTGAGCTGATTTCTGGATAAGCTGCTACTTACCGCTGCACGTCCTCCCCAGGTAGTTGGTGATATATTTGATGCTTATGCTGACCTCGTTTATAATACTGTTCCAGATCCACCATTTGCTCTTCAAGCCATCGAGCAGGATCCAGTTCTGATATTGTTCTCGGAAGTGTTGCCTAACATGCTCCATCTCCTTCCTGTAACAGAAGTCACGAATGTGGTGGATCTCTGAGCTGTCGTGCGTCAGGTGAGGCCTGCAGCAGGAGGAGAGACACGTTTTCATACATTAACTTTGAAGGTTTGTTATTTTAAAAACAGCTCTCACACTTGTGATTTCTGATGTGTATTTATAAAGATGATTATAGTTGCTATTGGTGTGTGTTTTCTTGCTAACTTGTTGGGCTTCATCTTGTCCAGAAGGCCTCTCCTCAGCACCTCCAGTGTGTCCAGCTCCAGCTCAAAAACTAGCATGTGAATGATGCTCCGAGACCCAATCAGCTCTGACTCCTTAAGTGTCTTCGGAAAGCCGTCCAACACGTACCTGGGATTAAATATTGTCTTCTCAAACACCCTCAAGCAGCAATAAAAGAGTACAGCATGTGCAGATTTTTTGAGTTAGGATAAAGTCTTTGGCTTGAAACAAAAAAAAAGCACTTATTCTAAGCTAAAAGTTAGGATCTTTTCAAGCCTTTAGTTTTAATAACTTAATGGACCAGAAGCCCCCAGCTTACCCTCGAGTGCTGCAGTCCGAGTTCATGAGCACCACCTCCAGACACTGAATGGCCAGTTCATCAGGCACAGCGAATCCCTGGGAGAGATGCTTTTTCATCTGGACAGCCAGATCGGTGTGCTCGTGATTGCTAAGCACCGTACGCATAACACTGCCAATGGACAGATGGGCCAAGCCATAATTCTGAGCAAACATCTGTGCCACTGGAGAGTTAAAGCAAAGTGAGAGAAATGCAGAACGTGAAAATAAAGCGATGAATAGTGATGGCCGTTTGAGAAAGTGTAAAACAAACAACTCTGCTTGGATGATATTGCAGCTGTCTTGAGTCTTACCAGTGGTTTTCCCAGATTTGGGTGGTCCAACAACTGCTATTTTAACAGGAAGGGACTGGGTGGGCTTTGGCTGCCTGAGGTACTTCAAGGGGTTCAGCATAAATGTGTTGCGGTTCTCCTTAGACGCAAAGAAGTAGATATACTGATGGAAGATTATGGGATATGTGGTATTGAGAGGCCACTGCAGAGGCTGGAACAAATCTCTCTCTTTGAATTGCTGTAGAAGGGGGAGGTGTGTGTAGAAAACAGTATATTAAAATACACTATGTACAGGACAGTCAGGCAAGTATTTGAAATGAAAAAAGACATAGTGGCCATTCCTAAATCACGCCTACCTTTATGGGATCCCAGCAGCCAAAGGCACTGTGGAGCTTATAAGAGGAGAGCAGCAGCTTATGTGCCAGGCTGTATGAGATAGGTTGGCATCTTTGGAAGAGTGACTCCCTGTTGGTCAGCAGGGGCTGGATTATCTGGAGCAGCTGATGCTGCACAATACGGAGCTTGCGAGAGGAACTGATTGAGACTTTGGATATGTTTAGTTCACTCAGGAGCTCCTGATGGTAGAACAGCACAAAGCAGGATGTAAGAGTTTATGGAAAATTACAATTTCTTATGTAACTTCTATGTAATTCTCCCGACTGTGCCAAAATCAAATATTAAAAAAGGGTAATAAATGTCTATGTCTGGCTACTTCATTAGGTTTTGTGTCTTTGTACCGTCACAGTATCGAGGCTGATTTCATCCGTCGCATAACGCTCCGCTATCTCCATCTCCAGCCTCTCAGATGCTGCCTCCTCAGTCTCCTCATTGTCAATGTCTTTGTTTTCCTCCTCTAAAGGAAACTCCTCCTCCAGCATGGCCTCTATCTCATCCTCTTCGTTACCTTCAGCTTCATCCTCCTCATCGTTTTCTTCATCCTCACCATTTCTGAGCTAATATGGAGATAGGAGGAAGGAAGTTTAAGCAGTGATGGAGAGGGGATGACAGTGGTAATAATGAGTTTGTTTACCTTTGTTTTTGCTTCATTTGTGAGTTCGGCCCTTCTCTTGACAATGCTTTTCTCCTGTACCAAAGAGATTTACTTGTGCCCGATACTCACACACAATCTACAGTCACTGTCAGGACAGACTGCAAGAATAATGCAGATAATAATGTTGGCAGGGAAGAAATTCTTCCAAGTTGTCGCATGCTTACCCTGTTCTTCTTCCGTAGATCACAAAGAAGGCTCAGCTGCGCTTCGCGGTGGTTGTGGCGCTCATGCCAGCTCTCCATGTATGTCGGCAACAGACGCTTCTGGACATCTGTGACGTCCACCGTCATCATTACCACAACGTCAGGGAAAAGCTGTGTCTGAAACATGTACTGCACCTCATCGGGGTTGTGAGGGAAGCCCTCCAAAATAAAACCTGTAGATCTTCAAGATGGAGAATGGTAAAAAAAAAGAGAAAGAAAAAAGAAGAAGTAGAGAAGAAGTTAAAGAAAGAGTAAGGTCAACAAATACTTTGTGTCACCAGGGGTACAAAAAGAACACACAATGTACATAAATACATATATAATGTATTTAGGTAAATAAATGTAAGATATGTATGGAAGTGTATACATATGAAAGGTTTGTATGTGAGCCTGGGTTTTAAAGGGGAAAGAAGCAGAAAGGGAGCATGCATGAGAGATTTATTTAATGATTTATTAAAGGAACATTTTTGGGGAGTTACGCTTATTAAGAGTTAATACTACTGTACATTACGTTAATTACAGTAAATATGACGCATGGGGCAGGAAGAGAGTGTATTTTGTGTTTGTGTTTAACTACATGTATGGCTCCTGTTTCCAGAATGGTGCGATAACCATATCCAGGATCTGTGGAGTCAGTGGATCTCCATCAGACAGGTAGTCTTTGATTGCTTTTTCCTCATTGGTCAGAACCACTTCCTGCTGTAGACACACCAAATATCATCCTCACAGGCACCATAATACTGGAAATATTACAGGAAATCCTGCTACAGGGAAGTTTATCGAAAGCTGACCTCCATGTCATTTGTGTTGGCCGATGTCTCCTCCAGCTCCTCCGTCTCCTTCTCGACCTCCTCCCTGGCTTCCTCTATCAGGGCCTCCAAATGCCTAGGAGACTCCTCTGAATACTCTACCTCATCAGCATAAGGTACCCGCTTCTTTGTCTTGGCCATGATGAGCATTTGGAGTTGCTCTCTGAACTGAATATGAAAGATGCCAAGCTGCTGGGCGAGCCACTCACCATGAGTGGTCTTGCCTGACCCTCGGGTGCCGAGCATAAAGATCCGCAGGACAGGAGGCTTGGATAGAAGGTGATAAGATACTTGTTAGGGACTTTTAGCTTTTCTTACTTTGACTTTTTCTTTCTCTAATTATGTCAGCTTGTACCTTGAGAGGCTCAGTCTGTGCAACAAATTGAACAGGGTTTTGAAGGAAGGAGTCCCTGGCTTCGAGGCTTGAGAAGTAGAAGGTCTTCTCACGGTACTTGGCGGCAATTTCATCCGTACACGGCCACAGAACATTTTGTGTTTTTAAGGCCACAGGGCAGAAATGATGGGTATCGCCTAATAACCTCTTGACTGTTGTGTCACCCTGCTTTTGTTGAGAGGAAGGAGATGCTGTTGTTAATTGACAACTAAGCAGTAAAAACAGGGATGCATCTTCAATTGTAGTATTATAAACTAGTTTATGAAGTAAGAAATTACTTATTTACTGACTTCACTCTCCTCCTCAGCTGCGTCATTGTCACTGCTGCCTTCCTCGTCTTTCTCCAGCTCAGCCAAGGCCTCGATGTCCTCTGCCTCCTTGACAAGGTCCATTGCTGACAGCTCAGAAGATACATGCTCAAAGGGTTCTGGAAATCATGTAAATCAGATTGGATTAAGAGTTTTTCTTACCAAACACGGCATCTAGTAGCAGTAGTAGTCACATTATTAGATAAACCATAGAAACAAATGTTTGTCACAAATATATAATAGTTATAATTCATTTACTTGAAACCTGACTTTCCATTCTGGCCAATTAAAACAGATAAGGTTTGTGGTGTAACATAAAAAGTATGGACTGTGATTGATACTTGAAGAACGGTTGAACTCACTCTCCATTTGATGGATCATCTCTTGAAGCAGGTCCTCAGGGCTTTTGTCGCCCATCTCCAGTACTGAGTGGACGATAGTTAATTCAGACTGCATTTGGTCCCATTCAGACTCAAACTGTTGCAGTTGCAGTTTGTGGTCATTCATCTCCGGGTTTTCTGGGTAACCCGGGTCGCAATGATCGGGTAGTTCCACAGGTTGAGCAACACATGATGGAGATGGAGATGGAGAGAGTTTAAGACAGAATTAGAAACGTTTATTTAGTTCAATGCTGCTTTTAGGGTGCTTAAATACAGGATGGTTTGCAAATATAAAAAAAGGACTGAAGGATCTAAAACAATAAAGTGTTTAACAGTTCAACACATAATGACACATGAACACTGACAGAACTTTAATATATACTCAAGTCTACATATTTAAATAAAACAACGTTGTGTTTGTGATGAACTGTTTCTGTGTCTCGTACCCTGATTTCTATCACTGTCTGTGAGACAGAAGAGGATGTCTGGGAGGATTCCAGCTTCCTGTAAGGCATCCATTTGGGAAATGTTGTTGGGAAAGTTGTCAAGCACCCAACCAGCATTAGTTTCAGCCTCTTCAATCTGTAACATCAGAATTCAAGCAGGTTTATAGATGCGATACATATACAGTATATCCCATCTCAAGCTTGTGTAAACGCAGCTGCCATGTTTCAGATTTTTGACATACCTCTTTTACACGCTTCTGCAGTACCTCAGCATACAGGCTGAAGGGAGATGTGCTCATATGTTTAGCTTCTTCCAGCGCAGATAGCACCATGGCTTGTACCTCTGGATGATCCTCTGTCACTGAAAACAGAAGAAAACATTTGCCAACAAATATGGTATAGTATGCTGGCACAGCTGTCACATGGGTCACATGTTCAAATAAATGAATATATAAATACTATATGTATATGTATATAATACAACAGTACAGGTGATAGTGAAAATCGTGATCATCAACAAAACCCAACTTGCCTGAATTCTGCCCGCCATCCTGCTCCATCTTCATCCTGATTTTCTCTATAGCGATCTGTGTTGTCTCCTCTTTGATTTTGTCAAGCCTCTCCTGCTCAACCGTGGCCAGAACCGGCTGCACCAATGCCTCCAAATCAAGCACCAATGCATTGTAGTGCTGAGCTAGAAGCTTACATAGAGTGCTCTTCCCTGCCTGTGGAGGTCCAATGATGGAAACTCTGCAAGGGGGTCTGGGCATCGGAGGAAGTAAATACCGTCGGGGGTTTGTGACAAACTTCTGGTAGGCCTCCTCAGATGAGAGGATGTACAATTTGTCCTGGAAGCTGCAGAGGGGTTGAAATGAGAGTTGGTTGACATTTTTACCCAGTCTCATTTGAAGCTAGATAGATTCCTTACCTGGCCACCGCCTACAAACGATCACTCACCCCACACAAAATTCAGGCATGCCAGGAATGACCTTGCCCTCCTTTAGAGCAACAGGACAAGTTCGGCTCCAGCGGCTCCTTCTCCATCTAAAACCAGGGGCCGCTGTCCTGGAGGAGGACATTATTCCCACTAGGTCTTCCTGGAAAAGAGATGGAGTTCAATTTGGAATGGATTTAGTGGAGAGAGTATGTTTGAAACGTCTGTTAGAGCATCATTTTAAAATATCCAACAACAGGTACATTTATTGCGTCACCATCACATTTGTGTTTATAGATGTGAAATATTTGAAATACATTTTTTAATAATCAGAATATGGTGACTAATGACAGACCGTGTCAATGTCCTCTGGCAATTCTTCATCATCAGTCTGATGGAGGAGGACTGGAATGGAGACACGCTTTATTGCCATGGATTCAAGACGGAACATTACAGACTAGAGGCAAAACAATAAATAAAATAAATCAGCCCACAGAATACATGGGTAGTTGAACATGTGCCACACAGACACTGCTGTATTAAATTCAAGCCAGTGACATGACTAACATTGCCTACTAATTAAAACACACTATGGTGAAAAGATACTTTTTAACAGCATATGATATTGTATTGTTTATTATCATGTTTGAAATGGTGAATGTATCCCTAGTGTCTTTACTGAGTGCAGCTCTTCAGGTGGGTTGTTTCCATCTAGTTCCAACAGGTAGAGGGGGTTGTGAGCTGCTATGTAGTCCTGAAAAAAAAAATCAATTAACTTACAATTTACTGGGTTTAAAAAAATAGGTATTTAATAACCAGAGTGTTTTAACTTTTTTCATGAGGGCAATTCCTCTTACCCTTCATCTGGTTTGATTTAGAGCAGAACATTAAACCTGGTTGTTTAATCATTTCATTAGTCTGTCAGACCATCTTTTTATCAGCAGTTATATCTCAGGTAATGTCACACGAAACATGAAACCACAGAGGATAGCAAAACTTTCTGAGATACCCGTATGATATGAAAATACTGGTGGCTTTCTAAAGAAAGGTTAAACATTTACACAAATGGAATATCTTTGACAGCACTCTGGCTTGAGAGACAAATCCCCCATCAGAGGGGTCTGATATTCATCGTGGGAGTGCACATATGTGTGAGGATATGTTTGTTTAACTTCATAATGTGTGAGCCATCCAGATATATTTTGGAGCCTTGGGGTAACTCACCTCCAGTGGTCTGAGCATAGTATCGTTGTACATGTTGATTCTAAGAAAAACATTTTTGGCCAAATTTTCTGGCGTCCACACCATTTGGCCAATAATATCCTTTTGGAGTTCCTGCAAGGTAAACAAACCCAATTTGTATAACAGGAAATCATGACAGCACAGACAGGCTTTTTTATTTATGGTTTAAAGTTTATGGTTGTGATAAGAATTATTCATCGGAAAATAATTATAGAAATTAGAATGAATAAAGTAAAAACAAAAGTCAAAATCCAAATTTTAAAATATGATGACATTGGGAATTGCAGGAAATAATATTAATACTACTCTCTAACGCCAAAGACAGGACCGGTTAAACCCAGTGGAAAGAGGTGTTTTCCCTTAAGTCGTACCTGCTCCTCCTCATCCTCCACTTCCTCATCCTTGTTCTCCCTCTTCTTGTTAAACACCTCCTCACGCTTCCACTGTTCCCTGTTGTACAGCTGGCCTGTCTCTGGGTGCTGCTTCAGACCCGACAGCCGATGGACCAGGTCCTTGTCTGCATACTGGTGGAGGATGGCAGTGTTAAGTTCACAGATGTACGAACGTTTGCCAGAATATGAACGTGTCCAAGGTAATTTAAAAAGGAAATATATTACTTGAGGCAATGCAATGCAACTACTAGAGGACATGTGGGTTACCTTGATGTTGATGATGAAATCAGGTGTTAGTTTGAGGTTTTTGATCAGCTTGAGCTGCTCATGAATTTTTGGACACTCTTCTGACATGAACGGCAGACAGCTCAGTACATACCCTGTGTAAAAACACGTATATTATCAAGTACAAGTAGTGGCACAGCTCACACTGTAGTGTTTTGTGCTAAAATGTGCAATCTGAATACATGTCCACTATGCTGGAACTGATTGAGCTGCATGATTTACCATAGTGCTCCACATCTGGTGAGTTAAGTCTGGCAAGGATCAGCTGGAGCACCATGTCTTCTGGTACACTTTTACCTTCAGATAAGATATTCAAGAGCTAAAAGAAAAAGAAAAAGCAATTCAAATATACAGTATATGTACACAAACACATGATATTCAAAAGGATCACTTTACCTTTGATACTCACCTCTATGCCTTGCTTTGTTTTATTTTCCAAGTGTGTGTTTAACATATCTGTATCTGAAAAACCATAAAAGCTGATGAGAAATCTCTGAATTAATATGGGACAAGGACCAGAAATACAACGATTGTACTTACCATCAATTAAGATACACTTCCAGGACTCTGCAATTTTTTTGGCCAAGGTGGATTTGCCAACACCCTGTCACAAAGAATACCACAACATTCATGTTGAGTCACTGGGTTATAAGGAAGGTATTAGAACAAATGCCAGTGTTTTGATGTGCTGTTGATCAGATGTGGGGGCTGGTAGCAGCACTCTCCACAGTGGCAGCACTCATTGTGTTTATTTATTTGATGTAATAACTTCAGGCTCCTTGCATATAGATATACTAGCAAATCCCAAATGATGATGGGACATCGCATTATCTATAAACAGGTGTATTTCAAATCTTCAGCTTTACCCGAGGAAGACAATTCTGAGATGTGTGTGGAACCCATTTCTGATTGTGTTTCATAATGTGTATAAAGGTGTATGTGTGTGTGTGTGTGTGTGTGTGTGTGTGTGTGTGTGTAAGAGAAAGATAAATACCGGTCTTCCAACAATGATGAAGCAGGTGGGTTTGGCATGAAGACCCTCTCTCTCAGCTTCATCTTCTATTAGGTTGTCCACTAAACGGTCTACTTGAGCTTCTTGAATATCAATGTGACATACAGAGAGAAGGACAAGTCATAAGACAGAACAGTGATAGACAGTTTCTCAATTTCTTGAGAATAATTAATAATTATTTATAATTAGCCACAAATAATTTCTGTAATATTTTAACAGAAGTTGACTCACCATTACTTTGGAGCATTCTTATATGCTTTTTATCCATTTTATCATCGTTTGTTTACCAGAATAACGTCACTTTTAGGTAACCTAACGTTTGTTGTTAATAGGCACCCGATACGGTTACCGTAGAAACAAACAAACTAAGGAGGACGGGAGGAGGAGGGGAGGGGGTCTTCCAGATTGAAGCTAGACAATACTTTTCACTTTGAGACTTGAAAGTACGTTTGCTGCGTTAAGAGGTGTGTATCCTCAGTTATAACTGCCATAAAACTTTGGAGCTGTTATCTGCCAATGAAAAGGCAAAATCGAGCACTTGATGCGTCAATTATTAATCGCATTTCCAGCCCTCAGATCCTTTTTGGGCTTTGCGAGCTACCGTATCAGTTGACACGAGCTCGGCCATGGCAGTCACCTGACTAAAACAAAGTCACGTGACTTTTCACTCATGCGCTAGCTGTATTTACTCGGACAGGTTACATACACAATTCATTAATAAAAGAAGAAGTTATTTAGGCTACCAGGGAAGATGCATATTATCTTATCTGGGGATGAATTGTGACTAACGCAGCTAGCTTGCTAAATTAATGGTAAGTAACGTTGCTTGGTTAGGAGATAGGACGAAAAGAAGATGCACCCAGTGACTAGCAGTGTCATGTTTACCTAACATAAGTATGCCTTGTCGATTTTGTATTTTATGATGTGAAGTAACGGATTTGTATGTTGTGTTTTGTTTGCTGAGCAGCTTGTCTTCTCTACTGGGTTGTGACTGTTTGGAGAATACAGGGATACAAAAATGCCTCAGGCAGCCGCTACCATCAGTGGGATCCAGAGGATGGTTCTGTATGAAACCAGAGCCGTAAGTCCGTAATGACCTGTATGCTGTTATTGTCACTTCTGCAACACGTCTGATCAGTCGGTTCTTGGGTTACACCTGCAAGTAGCCAACAACACCTCTTTCAGTTACATCACATGACAAAGAGCTGATTGTAAGAGCAATATTTAGGACATTTAAATGTTCAAATTGCTGACATTCACAGCCCAAAGCAATCACTTGTTAAAAGCATTTATTGCTCCTGCTGAAATGTGGACTCTAGTGATGGATTTCCTAATCTTACTGATGTAAGAAAGCCACACTTAATCTATGATTTCTAATTTTACAGATGTAAACATAGGGGGATAAAGGATGTCGATATTTCCGAAGGATGGCAGCAAACACTAGATGGCAGCAAAAGAGTGTTTTTGCGATGATTTGCTGTTCCAGGGATTCCCCTGTCTATATTAATTTACCATGACCTCCATAGTGTCAATTATAGTGTCTAGACAGTCAGAATGATAACAATTTACCAGACAAAATGATCTGTAAATATTAGTATGGTTTTGATTAAGTTTGTACATATTAGGTATACATATGCACGCATCACGACAAGTTCTTGTTCATGCTTCTTTCCTGCTAACAAATCCAATTCTTTCCCTTTTTTTCCCCAACGACCTACAATGACACCAGTGTTTAAATAAGGGTGTGCTATAACAGTGTGATTGATGGCGGATTTAAGGCAGAAAAACATTTGTCACAGTTGAGCTATCATATTTAGGGCCCGAGCACCGACAACGTCGGGCCGCGAGGTCCCTATTGAAACTGTAGTTATTATTATTCTTTTTCTCTCGAATGAAACGCCATTTTGGGGGCTTTATCATGTCCCCAACATCCCCATATTTGGCAAGCATATCAGGATTGCGGGAAAATTTGATATTTTATGGGTCCCATGCTCGAGCATGACATAATTGCTTGCTAGCGCCCCCTAGAAGTTGGAAATGCAAGCCAGGACACCCTTATGTCCAAATGACTTAAAATTCTACGGACAAGAGCAACTGAATGAGTTCTACAAAAAATCCTCTTGGGATTCTAAGCTCCGCCTACCAAAATTTTCTGCCATTTTGAATTTTGTAAAAAAAAAAAATAATTCACTTCTCCTAGACCCTGGGTCTGATTGGTACCAAATTGCATGTGAATCATTACTGGATCTATATCATCAAAAATTATGAAAATCTTGTTGATATCTTATT